GACCGCGCAGTGTGGCCGGCTGCTGAAAGCGCGCGTGGCTGTCGGAGTTGAAATGGGAAAGAAACTCTTTACAACTCCATTTTGCTTTTTACGTTTACCGAGAAACGTGAATCACTGTTTTATATTGATTAAAGTCCAGTTACACTTTGGGTAGGTTTTCTTTTAATGCAGATATGTTGGAGACTGTGTAAGTAAGTAAAAGATTGTATTGAAAGCTTAGAGGTATGATCTACGGCCATACCACCCCGAACGCGCCCTAACTCGTCTGAAAGCTTTGGGGTCTGTATTGAGTGGAAAAGGGGTATTTTCCAGTTGAAAAAAAAAACAAAACCACAAAACTGTAAATGATTTAAGCGATGTTGCATGAAAACAGATGCAATATTGGTTAGTCTAAGTCGCTGTATTGATTAGGAATCACCTAAGCATCTGTACCTTAGTTACTGATTGGATCTACAGTTGCAGATCGTCTTCATTGAATAGCGCTATTTGCATCCAAGTTGATTTGTTCGCAAACCTTGTTTAGTAGTTTACGGTGGAAAACTGGAATCTTTTTTACCTCAAAGTTGGTTCCACTTGTGTTTTTTAATAGTTTTGATTTTAAATTTTTACCTCTGTTGACTTGTTTGGTTCTTTTTGTCTTGAGGAAAGTCTTTTAAAATAAACGTTTCTTGCAGGTGTGTAAGTAGATTATATTTCACTCTGCCTTCCTGAAGGAGAAAAACAGAAAAACTGAAAAACTTCCATAATTTAAAATGTGTGTGATGAGAATTTTTCAACCACTTAGTATCACCCAGATGTGTAGTGTGTATGTACCATGTGGATGATTGTCACCTTGAGATGTGGCTAAATAGGCGGAGATACTGTTTTGAGCGTTTGGCACAAGTGACATTGGACTGAAAAAAGACTAGTTTTTAATTGTAAAGGATGACTTATTGAAGGATCTCTGGATAACTTGTCTTAATTGGTTCCATCTAATTTTGTGGAGCACTGATGGCTCTTGGGGACATTAAATATATAAGGTGCACCTTGGTTTGAGTTAAAGTCTAATGCTAGATTTATTCTCTCTGTTGTAAAAATCTGCGTTGCAGGGAAGGAGAGAGTAGGAATAATGTATAGTTCCTGAATTTTAGATCTAAGAGGAATCTTTCAGGTGTGGTTGTCTAACCCCATTTGCAGATGAGCAAACTGAGTCCCAGAGACTTAAGTAAATTTCCCAGGATTATCTATCTAGTCAGAAGCAGACCAGAACTGTCTGCTCTGTTAAGGTATTCTCCATTTACTCCCAAACATCTGACCTCTAGAGTCAGCTAAAATTCAGGACTTCCAGCTTATTCCATTGTTTCTTCTTTTAAACCTTGTTGATGGTGAATAGTTTGGGAGAATCTGAAAAATTCATTTGCCAAAAAAAATTCAGTTCATTAGCTTACATAGCACTCTCCCTTTGTTAACTGGATGGTCCTGCCTTCAATTGAGGGAGCTAGATGAATGTACAAGGGTCCCTGGCTGACCTAATCATGGCTTTAAGTGTTCGGATTTTTTTTTTTTTTTAAAGGGTCCAACTTCTAGAGCAAGGCCTACACTTTTACTGCTTCAAAACCAAGATATTTAGGTCAGGCTAACATATTTTTAGGTAACTGTGGGCACTTTTGACTATTAATTTGGGGTACTGCATGTGTCAAGTAAACAATTCCCTGTGCACATGTATGTGGTGGTGGTGGTGGAGTATTTTTGTAGTCTTGATTTCTTTCCATTTGTCAGTTAACTCCTTTTTAAAAGTTTATTCTGGTCATATAGGGGTGTAAGTTATTAGGAGAGTTAAAAAGAGGTAGCTCTTCAAGTGTTTCTTGTCCATGGGGTGGAGCCCTGCAGTGACGGGAGAAGGTGCTAGTTTGCGTCTTCTTAATTGTCTTAGAGCGCTGAAAGATTTATGTTAACTCTGAAAGACTGATAGTTCAGCTTCTAAGAGAGCTAATTTGAGCCTGCTGTAGACAGCACCTTGGGTTTAATTGCATTATGGTTACTAGTGATTATGATAAATAGTACATAGTCACTGGATTTTAAAATTGGCCATATACTTTTATTTTTATTTTTGAAATGGAGTCTCACTCTGTTGCCTAGGCTGGAGTGCAGTGGCGCGATCTCAGCTCACTGCATCGTCTGCCTCCTGGGTTCAAGCGATTCTCCTGCCTCAGCCCCTGGAGTAGCTGGGACTACGAGCACCAGCCACCGTTCCTGGCTAATTTTTGTATTTTTAGTAGAGACGGGGTTTCACCATGTTGGCCAGGCTGGTCTTGAACTCCTGACCTCAGGTGATCACCCACC